CTTATGGAATTGTCGTGAGGATTAAGTGAAGTACGCATGTGAAAGTGACGAGTACATATTGTAGATGCTCAATAAAGGGGAGTTTCCTTTCCTTGCTCATAGGCGGGGAAAGTGAAGCTTGGAGTATGAAAGTGAATTGTCCGAGATCTAGCAATGTCACAGTAGACTGAGATTTAAAGAACATTACCTAGGATCATCCAAGGGCTAGACTCACACGTTTGCGACCCTGGCACATTTTCTCTCCATTTTACAGATGAGAAAACTTGAAAGTCATTAAGTTACTATCAGGGAGTGCCCTAAGCCTGTGTGGCCCCAAGCCCAGGCCTGTCCTGCTGCACAACTGTCTAAATCTAGCCTGGCTTTCTTATAACCTGCTCTACTCAGGTCATTTGAAAAAATACTCAATGACCCTTTACTGTCTTCTGGGCACTGTGCTAGCCCTTGGGAACACAAAGTTGAGTAACTCCCTCAGCATCCAGCCAGAACCCCACTTTTTCTACTACCAGACTTTTCCCTATAAACCCCTGTAGTCTCTCCAGTTGCCTTGGACCCTCTTGATGCATGGGATACTTTAGTGGCTAAGACAATGAGGTAGTAGGTTGAATGGGGTGAGCTCTGAGATTGCACACATGTCAGTGTGCTCCCATCCTATGACCCCAAGGGTAGCTGCAAGGCTCTAGCCTGCAGGGCTGACTCTTCCTCATTTTGGACATAAAGTGGTTCATAAACATCACTGCAAAGTGGAGGAGGAGAACTGAAGGTCCTCAGGACATCTGGGTGATCAATGTACTCCAAACCCTGAAAACCCTCTGGCATGCTCCTAGCAGAGCCCCGCCATTGCAGGTAAAGACCTTATTTTGCTCTGGACTCTATTTGGCCTTTTTCATGAAAGCTGGCCTTTAAAAACATAAATCTTCAGGTAAACACTTGTTTCCTTCAATAGCCCTCAAGGAGAATTGCTGTCTGCAAAAGAGTATCTCAAGAAGCCAAGACTCAAGAGAAGGGGGGCACACTCCCTGTGGACAAGCAGCTGTCTGTTCCACTTCCCACTCACCCTCTATCAGTAATTCTGGTTTTTTTATTAGAATGTGAGCCAAAAGGCAGCAGCCTTGCTGGAGGGCAGAATTGGTGGTCAGACATTGTGGACACCTGGTGAGATAGCCTTTACAAATGAAGAAAATGAAGATTGAGGGGTGAAGGATTTTTCAGCTTATATGTCACAGAACCAAGATTCAAAACTAGACTTGCTTGACTGAAAAGCCCTAACAAATGTTAGACTGACCTTCCAATTTTTTCTAGTGGGTCACAGTGAGTTATCTATCTTTCAGAGTCATAAATCTGTGAAATCCTAGTCAGAAATCTGAGAAATTGAAGAGTTAGCGACTGTTCAGTTCAATTTCCCACCCAGGGCAGGAATCTCTTACTTTGTTGAAAGGTGTCCTCATCAGGTGCTCTGTGCAAAGCTGCCCCTCTTGAGGCAATACATTCACCATGGGACAACTCTGACCATTTGAAGTTCATCTTATATTGAACTTAGCTGAATTATATTAAGCACAGATTTTTCCCCTTGGAACCTTCCCTGCTCTGTCCCAGCTCTGTACTTGGGGGCTGGTTCCTCTGTCCATAGACAGACCATCAGAGACAGTGCCCACTTCCTAACTAACCACCGATCTGGGATATATCCCCCCAGCTCTCTCACTCACTTTTCAAAGGACCCTACTTTTCGAAGGCCCTTTCCATCCAAGTGGCCGTAGATGTCACTTGTAAAAGGTGGGGTCCCAACTTGTGCACAAGTCTCTCAGCTAAGAGCCTTATAAACAGTGAGTATATCTCAAAAGAGGAAATAATGTTTGAAGAATTAACAAGTACTACGTGTTCTATGTGGAAAATGAGAGATAAAAAAGGAAAGAAATCATGGGAGATTCAATATCTTAGCTTGAGTTCCCCCAAAGACTTGGAGACAAGGATTTGAGGGCAGATAGTTTCCACGGGAATCAATCCTAAAAGACACTGGTGGAGGGTGGGGAACTGAGAAGGTGGGAAGGGAAGGAGCTAACCATGGTGTTACCAAGAAAGTCACCACCAAGGGTCACCAGAACTTAAACCTGCTGAAATCTGCCAGCCAGTGTAGAACCTACACCTCAGAGTCATTCCACCCAAGGGCCAGGAAGCTGGGTATTTACATACCAATTTCTGTCAGTCATTGGTTGTGTGGTGGTGTGAGAAGGCAGGCAATAATTTTCCTGCACTTCTGACCTGCTTACTTTGCAGGCAGAGACTGTTCTGGGCCCACAAAAGCCCCCAGGCAGAAAGATACAAATGCTAGCATTTGAAACTCTGGCCAGAATATTTTACAATTATAACCCTAATGGAGCAGGGACAGGACATCCACAGCCTGGGCTATACCCAAAAACAGCCTGTCAGCATTTTGGTATATTTCCATACAACCTTACATATGTATAGTTATGTATATATTTGTTTTAATTTATTTGAGTTGGGGTTACACTATGTATTTAGTAGTGTGTCCTGCTCTTAACATTATCTTTTTTTTTTTTTTTTTAAATATATCTTTATTGATTTCAGAGAGAGGAAAGGAGAAGGAGAGAGAGACAGAAACATCAATGATGAGAGAGTCATTGATCGAGCCCACAACCCAGGCATGTGCCCTGACAGGAAATCGAACCCAGATCGCCTGGATCCTAGGTCGATGCTCAACCGCTGGGCCACACCCGGCCAGGCTCTTAACATTATCTTATCTGAATTTAGCCTTGATCTTAAATATTATTTGAAAATATCTTTTAAGGGCTTTATACTATTCCATTGCAGGGGTGTCCAATAATTTATTTAGCTGTGGGAATACAGACTCTCCACAGCTCTAAGGTTTTTCTATGTAGTAGAAATTAGCCATCAGCTAGCTGGGAACAAAATCTGGCAGAAATGGCAAAGACAGGAGTCTGGGGCTGGGGTCAGGAAGGAGGGTGGGCAGAGAAGCTGGAGAAGGAGTCTTGATACTGTGACTTATAAGGTATTTGGTCTTCATCCACAGTTCCTGGCTCACAGCTCCCAAAACCCTTGGAATTCCCTAACTGTTGAGAATAATAAAGGTGTCTTTGGGCCCCACCCAAGGGTGGGGTCTGTTTGTCTGGAAAACCAAACTTGTGATTAGAGGTTTAGAACTTTACCTTCCCCCTCCTACCTTCCTCGTGACCTCATGGAGAAGGGCTGGAGATTGAATTCAGTTGTCAATTATCAATGACAGTTGTCAATCATGACTACATAATGAAGCCTCCGTAAAAACCCAAAAGGACAGCAGCTGATCTTTTAATTATTTGGAGAGCTTCCATGTTGGGGAACCAGAATGCTTCCATGTGCCACCGGGCCCCAAACTCCACAGAAGTTCTTTTGTTCATGTCCTCACCCTGTGTATCTCTGCAACTGGCTGTTGATCCAAATCCTTTAATATCCTTAATAATAAATCAGTAATCTAGTGAGTAAACAATTTTTCTTGAGTCCTGCAAGCCGTTCTAGCAATGTAATGAAACCCAAGGAGGGGGTCTTTGGAGCCTCCAATCTATAACTGGTTGGTCAGAAGCACAGGTAAGAGCCTGGGCTTGCTGCTGATGTCTGAAGTGTGTGTGTGCAGGAACATTCTTATATAACTGAACCCTTAACCTGTGGAATCTGATTCTATCTTGGGTGGATCATGTCAGAATTGAGTTGAATCCTTAGACATCCTATTGGGGTCAGATAATCATTTGTCAGTGTCGGGAAATCGTCACACGCAAATTGGAATTGGATCTGGGAAATCGTCACACGCAAGTTGGAATTGGATCTGGGAGCCCTTTTTAGAGTTGACCGCAAGAAGGGCACACAAACAGAGCCAGGTACCTACCTATCCCCTACCATTAGGAGAGCATCTCACAGTGCCTGAAACATAGTAGGCATTCAATAATATTTACTAACTGCCTACCATGTGACAGGGCTTGTACAAAGGGAAGACAAAGCCAATTAAATATGGTTTGGTCTGCCTTCAAGGAACACATGAGAAATACTGTTGAACACCTACTATGTGCCAAGAACATGACATATATCATTCATCCTCACCTGTGAGGTGCTGTGTTTGGTTATTCTCACTTTTCAGACAAGGAAACGTAGGCTCAAAAGGTCAAATAACTTCAAGATCTCACAGTTGGTTACAGAGCTGGGTCCTAACCCAGGCAGGTCTGGCTCCAAAGCTCTTTGCTCTTTTCCTACCACACTGGGCTGCCTGACCCAGTTGGAAGTGCTTAAGGTCCAGAGTAAAGAGTCCTGGGTGGATTAGCCTGGCATGCAGGGAAGTGGGGGGACGGGAGAGAAAGATGACCTAGGGAAGCATTATTGAGGAAGTGACATTTGAGATGGGTCTTTGAAGACAGGTAAAATTCCAATGTGGGGAGATGATAGGGAGGGATCATGTGAAAAAGGAAAGACAGTGGTCCCCAAATGAGGAGTTGTCTAGAGACCAAGTGACCAAAGCCTGACTTGGGACAGACCCAATGAGATTGAATAGTGAAGGACCAGTGGTGGGGAGGTTTCCAGATGTGGAGTCCACACTGGTGTGATAACCTACTGAAGGGTGAGTCAGAAATTTCTTTGAGGCTGGAAGGACAGCTGGTTTTTAACTAAGGCCTACCATGTGCCTTGATTTTTTAAGAAACGGCAATGTAGGGACTGCTCTCTAAGGTCATCTACAGCTCCCTGGGGTGGGAGCAGGTTGAGGAAAGTAGGGAGGGAAGGAGAGGAGAAGAAAGGGAACATGTACTGAGTCCCAGCTATGTGGTGGCACTGAGGCATGTCATTTTATGTATGTGGGGAATACTTGGCATATAGCTGATACTCTCCCATGCTTAGGCACAGAAAGCCTGTTTAAGACAAGTAGAGACAGAACAACACTTCCCCTGTAACATGCTGCCTCTCATCCCTTCCTGACACTCAGCTCCTCTTTGGTCTTCTCTCCCCAGTATTGGTGCCCTTGTGGGCCTGTCCATAGCAGCGGTGGTCCTCCTGGCCTTCATTGTCACTGCCTGTGTGCTTTGTTACCTGTTCATCAGCTCAAAGCCTCACACAAAGTTGGACCCAGGCTTAAGCTTACGGACTACAGGTAAGAAAGAGGTCACATTATTTCCTTTTATTCAGCAAGCGAGCATTTTCACAGAGGGGACATATTTAGAAATGACATTTTGAACATTTGCCTCATGAGTATTCCTGGAATATTCAGAAGCAGCAGCACATTTCTTAAGAGGTTTATGATCTGAACATTTCCATCCTAAACTTTTTATGTGCTATGTGTTTATCAAAATAATTTGATATACTCAGCATTCTATTTATTACACGAAGATGAATCCACCCATCTTGTGGATTTTCTAAGACAGTGTTTTAATTCTAGCCTTAGAAAATGCAAACTGATTTTAATATTATCTCAAACAAAATACAGTTAATAAGAAAAATGTGCTGTTCCCCAAACTCAATTTATTCAGAAACTAAATACAGGTATTTCAGATAACCTGGTGTTCTGGACTACCCGTGTCCTTATGGATATAGAGCTTCCCTACAGAGCCACCCCAAAAAGTGTTGCTTTTTCACAAGTATTTATATCACGTATTTTCACAACCTTTGCAAGGTACTGGGAGAGAAACAAGTAGCTACTGGCAAAAAATATTTCGTTATAGTTTGGTTAACAGCACTCAAAATGGGTAGTATTATCTCTGTTTTAAAAGTGAGAAAATCAAGGCTGAGAGAGATTAGGTGACTTGCTCAACGTATCACAACTAATAAATGGTGAGGCTGAAATCTGGCCCATGTCTTTCTGCCTTGAGTCATGCTTGCTCTTCAGCCCACCACACTGGGTCTGCGTAGTATATAATTAAGCACAAAATTGTTTAATACCAAATGTAAGGAGGGTTTCAAAAAGGAAAGGAGACTTGAATTAGTGTTGAATTGGCGAAGGAGTTGGTTAGGCAAAATAGATGAGAAAAGGCATTTCAGGATAGGATAAATAACGGGTAAAGGTGTGTGGGCGGACTGAGTGAGACCTATGCAGTGACAGGGCCATTCACCCTGGGGCACCGTGGGGAGTAAGGCCAGGCTGGGCAGGGGAGGAATTTAAGCTCAGAAACAAGGATAGCAAACATCAGGAAGGGAGAAGAGGCAGAGTGGGTAACAGCTAAGCTTCAGAGAAAGACAGAGCTTTTTCATTTGCACAAGATTATTTTTCCAATTTTCCAATAAACTTGTACAACAAACAACAGCACACAAACACATCTCAGATCCTGATGCTTATGAATAATCCCACTGTGGCTGAGCAGTGAAAAACATAAGGGATGGCTTTTGGGGATGGGATGATTCGTCTCCTCTCCTTGGATGCAGTGGCAGGAGAACAGGAAGAAAGCCTAAGCATAGACCCAGACTCAGGGAGACCAGGGATAGGCCAGGCTTTAGCTTTTTTTTTTTTTTTAATTGATTTGAGAGAGAGACATTGATTTGTTGTTCCACTTGTTTATGCATTCATTGGTTGATTCTTTTTTCCCCCATTGGTTGATTCTTGTATGTGCCCTGACAAGGGATCAAACCCACAACCTTGGCGTATTAGGTTGATGCTCTAACCAACTGAACTACCCTGACAGGGCCCAGGCTTCAACTTTTATAGAGAAAAAATCATAAAAGTTAATGAAAGGCATAAAAGAACTTGACCATCTGGTGAGATATGGAAAGTATGTGAATAGGAAGGCTCGATATCATAGACAAATCAGTTCTTTCCAAATTAATCTATAAATAAAAATCCCAACAAAAGGTTTAGTGGAATTTGTCAAGTCAATTGTAAAATTAATCTAGAAGAGTAAAGGTGCAAGAGTGAACAAAACGATTTTGGAAAAGAAAGAAGAGACTTGTCCTATCAAAAAATAGGACATGTTTAAAAGATAAGAATTTGTCAATTTAATATTGGCACAGCAACTGACAGATAGAATCGGGCAATGCAGTGTCCTCAACTAATGCAAATTTGCTACCAAGGACATTTGGCAATGTGTAGAGAAATTTCTGGTTGTCACAGTTGGGAGAGAGGTGCTCCTGATACCTTTTGGTAGAGGCCGGGGATGCTATTAAACAGCCTACAACACAGGACAGTGCCCCACAACAAAGAATCATCCAACCCAAAATGTCAATAGTGCCAATGTTGAGAAACCCTAGAATAGAAAGTCCAGAAACAGACTAATTAAAATATAGGAATTTAAGCAAAACATTTAATTTTTAAAAACAAGGGAAAAGATTGGCAAATTTACCTATACAAAATGCAAATAGACATCAAATACACATAATAAAAAAGACATTATACATAAAGTTAAAAAACATGTGATAGACTGCAAAGATATAAATAAAAGCACTTAAATACAGGCAATCATTATTTGCAGATTCAATACTTGTGAATGTGCCTATTTGCTAAAACTTATATGTAACTTCAAAATCAATACTTGCAGTGTTTTCAGGGTCATTTGCGAATGTGGACATGTGCAGAGCAGCAAAAAATTTGAGTTGCCCCATCACACACATTCCTAGCTGAGGTTGAACAAGGCCATGCTCTGCCTTCTTATTTCAGCTCATACTGTAAACAAGCGTCCTTTTCATGGTATATCGAGTGCCATGTTTTTGCATTTTTATGACTTTTGATGGTGGTTTCACTGTTGAAAATGACCCCCAAATGTAGTGCTGAAGCGTGAAAAAGCGTGAAAAAGACTGTGATGTGCCTTGTGGAGAAAATACATGTGTTAGGTAAACTTTGTTCAGGCAAGAGTTACAGTGCTGTTGGCTATCAGTTAAATGTTAATAAATTAACAATATGTATTAAATAAGGTGTCTTTAAACAGAAACACACAAAACAAAGTTATGTATTGACTGGTTGACAAAAATATTGTGACCAGAGGCTCACAAGAACCTAACTTTTATCAATCACATTGGCAAGTACAAAAATGGATCATATTAATACTGAGAAGGTTGGGTGAGAGGAATGGATACTGTCATATACTGCTGGTAAGGGTATAAATTGGTACCACCACTTTGTAGAGTAATTTGGCAATATCTATTTATATTAAAATTAATATACCCTATAACTCAGTAATTCTATTTCTAATTATCTTAGAAGAAAGAGTCACACTAGAAGAGGATTTTTAAAGATGGATATCATGTTAGTCACATTGGAAACAAACTAAATGCCCTCCAGTAGAAAAATAATGAAATATGAGATGACAGAAGGAATGAACTAGCTCTAAATAGATCATCTCATTCATTTTTCACAATAACTGGGTAGAGTATAGATCTTATTACTATCCATTTTACAGGTGAGGAAACTGAGACCCAAGTTACCTAGTGAGTAACAAAGCCAACTCTACCTCCACTCTCCTTCCTCTCCTTATTTCTCTGCTGAGAAATGAAGTCCCTACTATGTGCCAGACACTGTTTGAAACTTTACATGCATTATCTCATCTAATTTTCCCAACTACTTGAGTGAGGTAGGTGTTATTATCGTCCATCTTACAGATGTGAAAACCAAGTCTTAGAAAGGTGAGATGACTTACCCGAGGGGTCACAGTCTGTAAATTGTGGATCAGAAATTCAAATATATGTGTTTCTCTACCTCCAGAGTCCTACTCTTCCTACCTCACCAAGCCAGGCCTGTGCTCCTGCTTGAGTCCTGGTCCCCTCATGACTCCCCACCCTATTTCCTTCCCCACACTGAGCCTTTCTGAATCACAGAGAATACAGTTCATCCCTTGGCCCTGTGAGTAAAAACCACCCTCCTGTTTTTTTTACTGCTCAGCCACCAGCTGGATTATTCAATTGCCAGGGTTTGAGATAGCTTATGTTCTTGCTTCTCGTTACCTATTTTTAAGATAGAAAATGCATTTCCTGACCTTTTACTAAATGACAGCTTTCAGCTCTCCCTCTCTTTTGCCCAATCTCAGCCCTTAGTTCCTCTCTTTCTTCTTAATTAAGTGCTGTCCTGTCCTTCCCAGGAGCCTCTTGTCCCTCCTTCTGCATCTGGGACAGTTTACAGGCCCACTATCTTACATTTATCTGAGCTTTACCCTTTATACAGACTTTCATTTCTGTTCGCAGTCTCCCTCTCCAGTAGGACTTGTAGAGATATCATTAGCCCTATTTTACTCCAGGGCTCAGCCATAGGAAGTGAATTGGCCAAGTCTATGCAGTTGTGAGCATATGTTGCTGGGATGTCAGTCCTGATCTCCCAGACTCTGAAGCCTGTGATCATTGCACTGGACCTCAGGGTCCTGTTCTCTGAGTGTGGGAACAAGGATGGTATCGGAGTGCCTTGGCAAGAACAGAGTGGAAATGGAACAGAGATTCTGGAAACAGGCTCCTTCTGCTACCCAGGCATTCTGTACTGTCTTGTCACCCCCACCTCCACACCATCTCCAAACTTGGGATGCAAAAAAACCCAACTTTCTTACTCTAGTATTTTGTAACTAGCTTGATCAGAAGGGTGACTCCTACTGTTGTGCTAGATGCTATGCTAAGGACTTTAAATTTATTATTCCATTTAACCTGCTTAACTACTCTACCAAGGGATTATTATCAACCCTGTTTTGCAGATAAAGTGAGTGAGGTAAGTATGGAGTTTATGTTCCAACCTTGGTACATTTAATAAGAGACAAAACAAAACAAAACACAAAAAAAAACCAGCAACAGCAACAAAAAACAATGGAGGTAAAAATGGAAGAGTTCAGTTCTTATCCTTCTCTGAAAGGTGTTGGTGAGGGGCTTATTAGTCAGCCATTCTCATTGATTCAAAGGGCTCCTAGAAATTAAGTCTGATACTTTCATTGTATAGATGAGGAGCTGAGGCCCTGAAAGGGACAGCCATGTGCCCAGGGTCACCCAGCCAGTGGCTGAGCCTTTGCCTCCTAGGCCAGGGATCTTTTCCTGCAGCAGTCCTTCTCACCATCCAGAGAGAATTCATTTGGCCCAGAGCCCACTGCTTTTTTTTCAACTTATTGGGGTGACATTGGGTAATAAAATTGTATAGGTTTCAAGTATACAGTTCTACAGTACATTATATGTATGTTATATTGTGTGTACACCACCCCAAAACCCCCTGCTTTTTGTTGTTGTTCTTAATGTTCACCAGAGGATATTTTTTCCATTGCTTTC